AGTCTCACTCTGTCGCCCAGACTGGAGTGCAGTGGCTGCTCCCGGCCACCGCAGCCTCGACCTGCTGGGCTCCTGCGATCCTTCCACCTCAGCCTCCCAAGTAGCCGGAATTACAGGCTACCACGCCTGGCTGATTTTTTGATTTATTGTAGAGATAAGGTCTTGCTGCCCAGGCGGGTCTCGAACCCGCGGGCTCAGGCAATCCACTCACCTCAGCCTCCCAAAGGCGCGGGATTACAGGCTGAACCACTGAGCCCGGCAATGAGAAACTTTTTAAAACATTCCTGAGATACATTGTCAATAGGAATCCAATAGATTTTATTTCCTACTTCATTTCCCCTACATTAGAGAACAAAGTATTATCCCACATTTTCTTACTCTCATTCTCTTACCATTTACCACAGTTTCCCAGTGGTTTGGCTTCCCTGACTAAAGAATTAAGTATCATTTTTACTTTCCATTTCTATTTTCTAACTCTGTACTTTTATCAGCACCAGGATCAACCTCTTCCTTCCTCTCAAGATTCATAGATACCTCTCTTTTCAAAATCCAATCTCTTAATCTAGGGTATTAGCCAAAACATGAACTCCCCAGACTCTGTTTTCCAGTTTTCCACCTAGTTTTCCCTGAATGATTCTTTGTGCTCCCTTTTGGCTTTCACTTGACTCCCTGTCTTGATGTTGGTGATCTCTCTTGCTTCACTAATTGCATAAGTGATTTCAGGTGCTACACCATGATTGCAGTTCTGCTTGGCTTGCATCCTTGGGAATGATCAATAATCCTGTGCACCCAGAAGGGACACTGGGCTGTTCACACTTTGTAACTGGAAAACCAAGCCACTTCTTCCCTAGCAATGTAAGAATCTCAGTGCAAAAGAGCTGATATTCTGATCAAATATAAGTATAATGAGTTAGAAAAAGAAAATCATGTCAAACACTTATTTGAAAGATATGAACAAAAATGAAACTTTAAATGCAGCAGCAACCACTGAAAAAACTTCAAAGACACACCATTTTCCCCTCACTTTTGTCCTTTATTTATTCTTCCTTTTTATCAGGAAATCAAAAACAAAATGCCATCTATCTTTTCCTACACCAACCATCACCAATTTCAAAGGAATATGTGTTGACTAAGGTTTAGAGATATTCCAGGAAGGCAAATATTGACATTATAATTGATAAACATTCTTATTATCCAAATATGTCAGAAAAGAACTATGTCCTGGTTGTTCTGGTTAATGTTCAGTTACTGACTTTCTATGTAATATAAATGCTTTTCTAATATTCTTTTTTAAGTGTCAAAGGATTTTTAAAATTTTTAAATTTTAAAATAATTAATACCTTCCAGCTGTTCTGGATTTTGATGACTATATAATAAAACAACCTGTATTTGAGTTTGGTTTAAAAAGAACTTGTTCTTAAGTATGTGGCTTACATTTTGTCAACGCAGTATTAATGTGTTTTATATTCACTCAGACTTCTCAGCTTCAAATTCATGTGTCTTTTTTTTTTTTCTTTCTTCATAAGAACTTTAACCTCAATGTCTCCAAAATTCTATTCGTCTTCCCCATCCTACTCCCACCCTCAAGCAAAAGCTCCTAAAGCCTCTATTTTGGTTAATAGCATCAATATTATGTAATCACCCAATTGACAAAATTAAGAGATACCCTAGATATTTTAACTTGCCAGCTATATTTGGTAACCCATCACTTTATCACCTACATCCACTCTATTGTCTTTTCTTAGGTCCACATTTTTTAGTATCTTTTATCTCCACTATTCAACAGTCTGCTCACTACATCTCATGCCCCTCAATCTAGGAGTTCTCAAAGTATAGTTTCCAGACCAGATGCCAGGTGATTCTGATGAATCTTGTTAGAGAACATCTACTAGATTTTCCTTGGATTTACAATTCTCAAAGACATTATTGTATTATTCTTCTGTTTGAAACCAATCAAAGAATTCTCAATGCTTATAAGATGGCATGCAAGCTCTTTTAAAAGAACTTTCAAAAAGTCCCTCACTACCTTTTCAACAATTATTGCTATGCTGTATAGGCCTGTGCTATGCTCCAGCCATGACAAACTTCTTGAAGCCAAAGTAATGAAATCTTCACATGATGGTTAGAAATCATTATGAAAGTCATCACCATGTTTCTGGATGTGGTTTCACAAGGATCTCAGAGTGGCTACTAAGTTAGTCAACCCTATAGTGATTTTCTAATCCATTTAATAGTCTAGAGTGGATCATTAGCACTAGAAGCAAGTGGGAACGGGGCATGTGCTGGAAGATGGGACCTAGCCTAATGAAAGAGATGTTCTACCACAGAAAAAGAAAGCCAAAACCTGCAGAGAAGAGATGACATAGGAAGGACCCTCAGAGTGGCTCAGGAATACAGTAATCCAGGAACTGGATCCAGTCCCTGGGGTATCAGATCTTTCAGACTTTTGGATGGTACTCCTTTGTAGTCTGTAAGCCAGTTGAGTAATAATCCAATAAATCCTCTCTAATCAAGCTTCAGATAGATTTCCATCTTTGTTCACCAAGAGTCTTAATAAATACAAGCAATGTTTCAAAACAATATAGGGCAAAGGATTAATTTTATTACTTTAAAATTTTTGTTTGCATAAGTCTTTGTACAGAATGATGCACAAAATATTTGAAATAACTGAAGTTTATAAACTTATAAGTTATGATACAATAACATAATGATGACATTAAGTGGTTACATTAAGGTGAGTATCAAGGGAAATTGAATTTTTAATAGGAAAACACTCTACATACAGTGTTACAATTTAACTGAATTACTTCTCTTCTTAATATTTAATATTATACCATCACAAATAGGAAGTAATCAAATTATTTCCATTATTGAATCAGGACACCATGGTGCTGAACTATCTATATACATATATTACATTAGTACTTTTTGTATATTCATGAAAACTCATAGGAAATACAAAAATAGACGGAGTAATCTATATTCTTCATGGAATTTTCAGATGATTTTAATCTGATTCGTCACTGCTGAAGTAAGAGCTGTCACAAAATTCAGCCGTGTATAGGAATTTATGAATGATCGGATTCATCTTTGGTATCCAGTGTCGGGGAACCAGATATGTTGAAAGGTTAAATAAATCTACGAAGACCTTGTACCTGTCGCTGGAAAAGCACATACATGAAGTTGTTTTAGATTTGTTGACATTAAATATTTAAAATTTTCTATTCAAAAATTGTATTTCTCAGATAAACTTTTTCATAAATAATATTAAATATTATAACATATTACACAGTCCATAGTGTATATTATAGTACATATATTAAGTATTATGTAGTACTGTATTAAGATTGCCTAGTTTTATTCTATATTCAAATTTCATGCCCATAAAACAGTATTGAGTATTTGATCCAGATCAGAGAGATCCTTATGAAAACTCTGGGTCTTATTATTGTCATGCTGCCTTCATAAAGACAAGGGTTTAGTCTCATTTCCTACTTCTAAAGGATATATGCAAAGTAAGCTTAAAGCATATGAAGTTCTTAGTTGTTCAGTGAAAGATACTTTCTAATGTCAAAGTCACTGCCATGAAGAAGTTAATAAATTGAAATGCGATCTTAGATTCATAATAAATGTCTATAATAGTGGTTTTTACATTAAAATTGCCTCTGTGCTTGTTAGTCAACTGTTTTAACTCTTGCAGTTTCATAAAAGAAGATAATTTGCCTTTGAAGCTCAATAACTCTGGTTCTGTCACTTGCAATTCAGGGACCTTGAACAAGTTGTTTAAACTCTGCCCAGTTTCTAACTTGATAAAATAAAAATTTCAGTCCCATCTTATGGTCAAGACTTTGTTTAAGTGAGGTAATAACATACTAGAAATGCTGTTTGTGTTCGTTATTTCCACCACACACTGATGTGTGTGCTCACTTTGTACAACCATTGCCTGTCTCGTGCTTACAAAATTTATTTCTAGAGAAAGTTAAAATGTATAAAAATGGTAAAAATTTGAAACTACATTTTAGAAATCAACCCATCTGGTAGTAAGAGTAGTAATAAAAGCAGTGTACTTTAAATAATTTGGAGGGGGCGAAATGTGAATATCTAATTTCTTATCAAGCTGATTCTTTTTTCCCAAGGGACCATAGGCATGTCCCAGTTTCCATATGTATCTGTTTTTGCATCCATCTATAACATTGTGAATATGAAATAAAATATAAATGTAAATGCCTTAAAAAGCTTTTAAACATGTTTTAAGTTCTCAATAAGTGTTGATCTCTTTCCTTGTAAACACTGTGGAAAGGGCACTCTCTGGAGTAGGTGGAAGTAATTTTATAATATAAAATAGAGTCATACCAGGAAATGAGAAACTATTTTAGTTGTGTCATTTATCTAGTCAAGAATACATTATTGGAATTAATGATAAAAGTTTTAGTCTGGTCAAAACTTGAACCAGGAGCTGGAGACTTTTCTGCTTGGAATTGAACACTGTTAAGTCTATCTTTTTCTCACGTGTCATGCAGTCATCGGCTCCATGTCCTTTGTCATCACAGCATCAAGATGGTGAAGGTCTTAATTAAGGATTGGATACAGTTACCTCCAAGGAATCTGACTGAAATAAAATCTAACTACAAATGTGCTGTCAGCAGTTCAGACAGGAGCAAACATAAATCCCTTTCCCTGGCTAATTCACACATACATGGAGAGGTGCAAGATGGGTGACTGCCACCAAGAAGAAAGGAGAATCTCCTCCACCTACCTCACAGTTGAGCGCAGGTACTGATAACCTGAGGAACCTCCAGTGCCAGCCTTGTTGCCCAGCATTCTGTGCACCATGCACACATGGTTATCTAGGCAAACACACACATTTATACCATGGATATTTTGCTGCCATTAGTTCCACAGTGCTCTAAAAGCAAGGAGTTGGTAATGATTATTGCTTATGAGAAAAGGCTGACACCTTATCACGGAGCCATATGGAAGGCTCACACGAGAGCCAGATGAGACTGCGAGGTTGCCTAGCAACCAACTTGGGTGAGTCCACATGTGTTTTACTCCATCCATCATAACATTTAGCCCATGAACACAATAGGGAAGAGCAGGGCCACAAACAACTTTCATGAGCCCTCACTAATTCTGCCTTTATATGCTCCTTTATTTAAAAAAAAAAGAAAAACTATTAAAATTATATTTTAAAACAGCATTGACATTAAAATGACTATATTTCTATTATAGAGTAAAACATTTTTTTGACCTAAAGTTTATTTTTTCTTTAGATTGTAAGATAAATTCTAATGGTTTCATGAGCACCCCCCCCCCCAAAGTATTGTGGACCGTAGGCACTGAGGCTGCTTTGCATATGGGATAAGTCAGCCCTGGGACAGAGTAGTTGCCAAGTTGATTTGTATGAAAGAATTCACCCACACGCAAAGAATGGAGGAAAAGACAGTAAGGGAAGAGGGCTGCACAAAAGAAAGAGTAAAGGATCAGGATTCGGGCAGAAGGAGCATGGGATGGGAGAGGAGACTTACATCTCCATTTGGTCATGAGTGTGTCTATATCCATAAGATAAGTCAGCAACTGAAAAGGCACCTGGAACCTAGGCTCTTCTCTAAAAGAAAAAGAAGAAATCTATTCAAGCAAATTCAGTGTGTTAGAAAGTGCACGAGTTTTATCATCAGTTGGCCCTGGAAGCAAATATCAACTTTGCCTCAGAATCTGTGGTTGCTTTGGATTACTCTCTCAGTCTCTCTTTCTTCCTCTCAGAGATAAAACACAGTTTGCAGTACTTGTTTGAGATCTAAAAAATTTCTTACGATATTCATGAAGTGATCAGCCAGAGTCACACCTAACATGAATTCTTGTTAAAAAGAAGACACATAATCTTAGAAGATTTTCTAGCTAACAACAGCTAGAAACATCTTTTAGGCAAAGATGATAAGACACACACACAAAAAGACTGCTTTTTTATTTTCTTTCATCTACTGGCTTTGCTTTTTTTCATCTAATTTTTAAGCTTTCTCAGTACATTGTTCTACTTAAGACATAAGTTTGACTGGCATACATTTACTTGAGATTAAGAAAAGAGTCAAAATATTTTATGTTGCTTTTCTGAAAAAAGATCTGAGAGGATTTTTAAAATAAAATAATTACATGGAAGCAAGACATCTTTAAAGACAGGTATTTGAAGTCTTTTGTTGTTAGTGTGATATCCATTGTACTGACACATTTAAATTACGAACCATGAGGCTGAGAACTTCTTACAAGAGTAGGAATGAAGCAGTATTTTAGGAACACCTCAAACATTTAGACAGTGAAGGCAGTTTTACTTGAAGTTGCTGAGTGAGTAGTAGAGTTTACAAGGTGTTTTCTTGTTATTCAGTCCTTGTCATTTTATTAAACAGGAATAAACTACAACATTATTTAATGGTAGAACACATTTCATGACTGAGTTTCTGAGACAAAGTAAACTTGGCCCTTTAGGACACTTGGTGTTGCATAATACTTTGTAGAATTTAATTTAAAAATATTTAAATTTGTGTGTGCATGTGTGTGTGTTGGGGGAGAGGTCACCCCTTTCAGAAACAAAGTTAAAACTGTGCTATTTAAAATTTTAGAAACCTCATGAAACTTCACTATTAGGCATTTCTAAGTTTTCTCCAAAATGAAATTACTGCATTAAATTATACTTGCAATTTATAAGCTTTATACTGGGTTTATTATCCATTTCCACACCTTAATTTTAACTTCCACCTCTTTTCTGAAATGCTTTTACCTGTAAAAATATATCATCAATGCTCCCTGAAGTGCTCTGTATGACAATCTTCTTTCACCTGCAAAATACACAGCAAGTTTTAATTTAATAGGTAATTTAGGTCAATCTTATATTAATTTAGCATCATCACCTTGAATAATTAAATGAGCTATGAGTGTTTAGAAAACAATGTAACTTTTAATTTAAATTTTTATTTCTTAGCTTGAATTTGGAAGCGTATCATTTAAAACATTATTTTAACATTGGATTTTAAAAGACAAACTAAAAATGTATATACTTTAAAACTATCAAAATCTTTCACAGTCATATTAGGAAAACCTGATGTTTCTAGAAAATATTTCCTTAATAAAACATTTTTCCAAGTAAAATAGTATCATGACTTACTTTTCAAAGAGTTAAGCAAGATTCATTCCAAGTGTTATTTGAAAGTAGTCTTCTCTACTTCACTTAAAATTAGTTAACTTGGCTTTTAGGAGCACAACCATTATATGAAATCACATATGTGGGCTCTAATAAAAGACTTTGTTTCTAACTGACTTTGCTATTCTTAACTGAGTTTCTTCTTAAAAGAAAACAGGCTGATATTTTATGCTTATAGAATTTAATACCAACTTCATATACTGCTATGCCTTGTACTTGTATTATAAAAATTAATTTTTACTTTTATTCTGGTTATTTCCAAAAAGATTTTGAGATACTTGCAACAAAAGTTCTAAGTCAAAATGAATACAGAAGTTTAATAATGAAGGTACTGATTTTACTGGTCAATTATTTTCAGGAAATAATAGCTCAATATCAATTGTGCCAAAAGTCTAAATGCATGATCTTCCTGGTCAGCTTGAGAAACATTTTCTCTGTCAAGCCACTCTTACTCTCAAAGTAGTTACTCCTTTTCTTATCACTATCATCTTATTTACAATTACAATGATTTGTCTTTATTTCTGTTCCTATGAGGTTGTGAGCCACTTGAGAAACTATATGCAATTGATCAATCCCTCATATTGGCACAGACTATGAAATTTTTTTCTAATACTTTTGAAATAATCTAGGCATACAAACCTGTTAAAATAGATTATAGATGACATTTACTCAATTCTTGCTGCTATAAGTAGAGTATCAACTTTCATTCTATTTCTCCCAAGTAAAGCTTAATAGTCTTAGCAAATTCTATTTTGATCTCACACTCAACGCATTCCAGGGAAAGGATCCTTAGAATAAAAATATTTACCTTTACTGAGGAGATGTTCATGACGCTTCTCATCAAATAAGGACAGTAGCACCTCTTTTTGTTTCTGAAATTCAGTCATTTGTTCTTCTTTTTCTTCTGACTCATCCTTAGCCTTGAAAAAAATACTGCATTAATAGTCTCAAGAGAAAAGATTGCTATTTTAGAAAGCTTTGCTTATGAGGAGACTTACAGTTGCAGAAGGGATATACTTGGAATATTTACCAGATTACTTAATATTACAATTTAAAAATTGTGCCTTATCAAAAGGAATCTTCCACATTCTCATTGATTCTATCCTTTTAATTAAGTTTAAATTTTTATATTGAGGAAACTTTAATTTAGGCAACAAAGCTATACACATGCAATACTATCACTCTTTTGCTTGCTTACAATTTTTAAAAACTCCTTATAATAATAATAATAATTTAAAATCCAAATGATTTAGTCTACAAAATCTTTTATAATCTAGCCCCTGACAACCTTTCTGGACTTAATCCTTTTTTAAATTCTTTTTTTAATTTTTATTTTAAAGATGTGGAGTACAATTCACATCTGTGAATTGTACTGTGGCTATTGTACAGGTAAAGTTTGGGCCTCCATTTGGTCCTCACTTAGCCTGGTTTGAGATCAGGTACCCTTATTGATGTTATGTGTCTCCCCCTGACAGCCGGCTTGTTAACAACAAATGTTCTCTTCATAAATATCACAAGAAGTACACCCAGATAGACAAAATTAGAGGTAAATACTGGTGGTTAATAATGACCTAGTTTTAGTTTTAGACAGTAATTATTTAACATAAGAAGTAAAATATACCCGGGCGTGGTAGCACGAGCCTGTAATTCCAGCTACCTGGAAGACTGAGGCGGAAGGATCTCCAGAGCCCAGCAGGTTGAGGCTGCGGTGGCTGGGAGCTTGCCACTGCACCCCAGTCTGGGTGACAGAGTGAAACTCCAACTCAAAAAAAAAAAAAAAAAGTAAAATAATTCCACTCAGGAAAAGTTAGGAATTTCTACTCTGAAGGGCGACTAACTCTGCTGAAATTACATATTCAGCATATCATTTTGTAAAAATAATTTCTTAGATATTTTTTACTAACTTATTTATTTGCTATCAATTGGTTTAAGAGAATTCTTATTTTTCTGCTTATGACACATGTTCTATTTAAAACAACTGAGCTGGAGAAAATTAGTTAACTCAATTATTTCCAATTCATCAGAACAACCAAATTCTGTAGTAAGAATTTGTGTGCATGTTTTTCCAGTTATTTATCTATCTATTCAATAAATGCCATGTTAAGATGATAAAGATAAAATTGTGAACAAAAATTGAATCCCCTGATATCACACAGGTTATTATCTGGTGAGAATAAGATATTGAAAAATAACCACCCTAGCATTAAATTGTAATCTGTGCTATACAGGAGCAGTATTAGTGACAGAATAACTTAGAGTAATAAGGAAGTTAGGAAAGACCTTCTTAAAGAAGTTTTTCTTGAACCAAGATTTGAAAAATGGGAAAGAGTCACCTGAAGAAGAATATTCCAAGCCCAGAGAAAAACACATAAAAAGTCTCCTTAGTGATAAATTCAAAGAGTTAAACTCAGCTAATAAAAGAAACTCAGTATGGTTGGACCATGTGAGTTTATAAAGGGCCTACAGATGGTGTTAGCATTTTATCTTAATACCAAAAACAGTGAGGTAACATCAAAAGGCCTTCAGTAAAAGGGAGATGTGATCAGATTTGCATTTTGGAAAGGTTACACAGACTACAGTGTGAAAAATAAATTGGAATGGAGCCATATTGGGGAGGGTAGGAAAGTGCAGAGACTTCCTTTAGTCCAGATGAAAAACAATGGCAGGTTGCACTTAAGTGTTAGTGGTAGGCTAAAGGGAGACATTTGAGAGCTATTTAGAGGTAAAATTGGTAAGATTTGATAATAGTTTGAAAAAGTAGTTGAGCAAGAGTAAGACAACAAGGATCACTACCAGATGTTTGACTTAACAACTAAATGGTTTATAAAAGAGACACATCTTTAAATGGTATGAGAGTGGAGGGAAAGGAAAATGTTGTTCAAGTTTAGCTTTTATTGGTGTATTTTTGAGAGGACCAGGAAGAAATATCAAGAAGGCTGTTAAAGAAACAATCTGATCTTTAAGGGGATATCTAAGTGAGAGAGAGAAACATTTGAGAATTATTGAGAGTAAGTAGTAGTGATTAGTATTAGATGCAGCTGGGAGGTCAAATAAAATTAAGATTTAAAAAGGCCGTTAGATTATGTACAAGGTGGCCATTTGTAAATGATGATGCAAGAAGATGGATTAAAATAAGGATTAGATGAGAGATGAAAAATAATTATTCTAACTACTATTCTAAATGCTTTACAAATACTAATTTAGTTTTATACTTATAAACTATGGGTTACATACTCTAACTTTTCTATTTTACCAATGACGAAAGTAAGGCAAAAATAGGTTAAATAACCTGTTTAGCATCATATAGTTATTAAAAACTGGAGGTGGGGCAACAGAGTGAGACTCTACCTTAAAAAAAAAAAAGAAGAAGAATGAGAGGGATAAATGAAACCCACGCAGTGTGACTTCAAAGTGTTACCTGATACAACCTTTCAAGATATAGAATTTAAATAACTCATTTAAGAAATTTAGTCATAAAGAAGGAATTTAGTCATTCCCTCTGTTACTTGAGGGAAACAAGCAATCAACAGTATTTTTTTATTTTAGAAAAACTGACATTGTCTGAGAGCCAACAGAAAGGACTCAGCAAATCTACAAGATAAAAGGAAAGTTATATGGCTAAGACTATTTGATTGGTTGGTCCTTTGGGTGCCTAGTTCTGTCTAGAATGTGTTATAATATGGAATTTTCAATAGAAATGAAAAAAGTCTATTAATATCATCTACTTGTCTTAAGCAACATCTTGCTTGCCATGCACAGCTTATTTCTGCATAATTTTAATTGTACATAAAGGAAATTAAGTCAATCACGTAATATATTCCAAGGAAATACATTTGTGAAAGAAAACAAATATAAAGAAAAGGAAAGGTTAACTGTTAAAATAAAGTTCCTAATAATTCTGTAGTAAGTTTATTAACTCATGACATATAAATACCTGAATCCTGATGAATTCATCTTGCAAACCTTTGATGATATTTTTTTCAAACTTGCTCCAGAAGTTAAATCCATGTGTCTCTAAACCTGGTGTTCTTTCCAGCCATGCCTTAAATAAATATTATTTTTTAAGTAAATACTTGTAAAATTTAAAATATGTAAAATGCACTATAACTAACGGGTATAAACTTGAAAAAAGAAATCTTCATGGTTTCCAGGAATATATACTACAAGTTTTATTTGTAAGTATTCTTTCTTTTTCTTAAATTTCTTCACTTATGAAATAGTAATCAATATATTCTGTTTCCTTAATCTTTATGGAAGTCATCATTAATACTATTTCTTCTTTATTTCTTAATACATGATTACAGAAATCCCAATTGTCTTCTAGAAATCTATCAACATGTCTGAACATTATTTAATGTCTTCTAGTTTATTCTCAAAATACTTATATCTCAGAAACTGAAGAAAATATGACGTATATAAGATATGATCTCTTCAAAATGTATGGGCGCTATATACTTAGTAACTTTGAAATTAACTAAATATGTAATAAATTTGAGATTTTACAGGACTTTCAAATCTAGAAATAAAACTTAACTTATGTTCCTCTATAGACTTTAAAATTTAACCTAAATTTAGTTTTGGTATTAGCTTTGTGATTCTTTCTCATCCTTTCTTTTTAAGCTATGTTATGGTACTATTTATAATAAATTAACCTAAATCCACATTTATAATACCTGGGGGATTAATGAACAGAGTATAATTCAACAAAAGTTTAATATTCTAAGCAAAAGTCTTTGTGAAAGAAATCAAGACAATACAGTATATCTTTAATAATTTACATGTAAAGAAATACATTAATAATTCCTGAAGTCTACTTACAGATCTTTAGGGAATTTAAATATAAAGGGAAAACATTAAGTAATTCAGTTTAATTAAGAAAATATTCAATAAGTGAAAATGTCTAATTGCAGAATATTTTAAAGTAATAAAGCTCATGGATAATTAACCACATTTAGTCTAAAAATAAGCTAATTAAATGTTGCTTAGTAGGGATGTTTAAAAGGATCGATTTGATGAGATTATGAGGTTATTAAATATTAACATGCAATTGATTATATAAATATTTCTGAAGTTCTCAAGAGGTTTTTGATATTTTAAGCATTATAATAAGTTAACTTACAAATTTAAGTTTTAAAAACTTCTTTCTTTCCTTTTCTTCAATGATGTAACCCCATTTTGTTTTGTTTTGTTTTTTCATATTGGAAGATATAGTTTATTTAGAAAGTAAATTAGAGAGTGAGAGAGGAGATTCATCTCCCCAATGTAATGGAGGGGACCAAAGCTAGGGAAACATGGCAGCTATAGCTCAAAGAACCACATGGCTTCACCAGAGCTCAGCAAAGCAGGGGCCAATGTAACCTAATTTTGACAGAAGCTAAATTGACAAGATATACTGTTAGACTTTAGAAACTGTATGTGAGTACAGACCTCCACAAGTTGAAGAAGTGTTTTCTCCTGCTCAGACTTAAGTAGTTGTTCATTTTCTTCTCCTTTGAAGTTATCACGATAATGCCTTCTGTTGTAAGGGACTCTCAAACTCTGAAAAACACCTATCTTGTTTTCTAACAGTCGGAATTGCAAACTCTGGAAGCCTGATGCTGGAGATAAGTATTCTCTGAGAATACATAGCAGAGAAGAAGAAAGAAGAGAAAGAAAGAGATGGGTTGACATTCTAAGTCACTGTAATGTTTTCTTTTGCTGTAAGGGGTTGTCAGTTTTACTCTCCTAGAGAATGAGAACAGATACAATTGCCTAGATTTAGACTTCTAATTTGACTGTCACTGAAATTAGAAAAATGAGCTAGCTAAACATCATCGTTGTTGTCAATTTGAAGTTGAAAGTGTCACTTTTATTTTAATATATGTATGATACATATTTTAATACATATTATATTTGTATGTTAATTATAAATGTGCCATAAGTGTATGTTGAAATAATGGTATATACATATATTTTTATTTGTGCTTATGTGAGATATACATATATACTATATGTGCAATTGTGTGTACATGTGTATAAACACATTTTTTCCTAAGATAAAGGCAGGTGGACATTGAGTACTTTTTATTATAAAGTTCTATAAAGATTCCTAATAAATAAATATATATATACATATATATAAAAATATATATGTATATATATATATATATTTTTTTTTTGAGTTGGAGTCTCACTCTGTCACCCAGACTGGAGTGCAGTGGCCGCTCCTGGCCACCGCAGCCTCAACCTGCTGGGCTCCGGCAATCCTTCTGCCTCAGCTTCCAAGTAGCTGGAACTACAGGCGCGTGCTACCTCGCCCAGCTAATTTTTTGATTTATTGTAGAGATGAGGTCTCGCCAAGTTGTCCAGGCGAGTCTCGAACCCAAGGGCTCAGGAAATTCACTCACCTCAGTCTCCCAAGGCGCGTGATTACAGGCTGAGCCACCGAGCCCAGCTCTTAATAAATATTATTTAATTCCTCTTATAATTTACTTTCTTGAACATTATTAATCTCACTACCTAGTATTATTATAAGTACCCATGATATCATTGGTAAAATAAAACAATTAGTGTGTTGCCAATCATAAAATAGGCTACCAAAAACAATTACCTATATATTACCTCCTTGTAAATTACCTTCACTGAATTGATCCTGATACATTAACTTTTTAAATGCACCACAAAAGAATTCTATGACTTTTGCTTTGATTGTTAAACATGTTCAAGACATTGCCTGTTACATCATATAATACACAAATCTAAGGTTTTGAGAAAAGTTCTCAAATTTTGGTAAGAAAAAACTTTATATCTACACATTCATATACATATACACACAAAATATACATATACTATTTTAAGACAAAGCTAAATATTGTACTTAGAACATATAGAGAGAAATTTATAACTAAAATTTATGGTTTAATCCATAACTTATACTAACACTTTTGACTGGCATGCTGTCAATGGACATATATATCCTATTTCTTTTATTCTTAGTTTGTAATTTTTGAAAATTTAATTACACACATTTTATTAGTTATTTTAGCCATTTTGCTAAGTTGTCTAATAATTTTGGGGAGGGAAACAGAGCACTTAATGATGAATTAAAATTAATTGATCATATTATACTTGTATGTAAAAATGAATGGTGAGATTTTTTTGTTGTTGTTGTTGCTGTTGTTGTTGTTTGAGTTGGAGTCTCACTCTGTCGCCCAGACTGGAGTGCAGTGGCCGCTCCCGGCCACCGCAGCCTCGACCTGCTGGGCTCCGGAGATGCTTCCGCCTCAGCCTTCCAAGTAGCCGGAATTACAGGCATGCGCTACCACGCCTGGCTGATTTTTTGATTTATTGTAGAGATGAGGTCTAGCAGCCCAGGCGGGTCTCGAACCCGCGGGCTCAGGCAATCCACTCACCTCAGCCTCCCAAAGGCGCGGGATTACAGGCTGAGCCACCGAGCCCGGCTAATGGTGAGATTTTAAAAATAATTTATCAAATACTTTATGATTGAAGATCCCTAAGTCCACATAATGACAAGGTTTTTGTTAGTAGCACAGGCTCCTCATGTCACACAACCACACATTCTCCTTTTACCCCATGAGATTGAGAAGGCAAACCTCACTGCATTTTCCTAAATGTTGCAGGTGCACACCTGAAGTCATTGAAGTCCAAGGCTGTCATTGTCTCCAGAACAGAAAACTGCTGTACCAACAGTTTAAGAATCACTGCCACTCGGTGCATCCGGGTAACAACCTTAAGCATATTCCTTTCATCCCTGACCTATGGTTCAGAAAGAACATGCTGAGTAATAAATTTTGATTTCTAGAAGATACAAAATAAACAATGTCACTACATTTTCAATAAATATCATCATTGTAAAGAGGAATATTGGAACTAAAAGTATACATTAACAAATAGCAATTCTGGATCGTGTGCAAGAAATGCCTCCAAAATCAGAATTATTTTTCTTTCTTTAAAAATAGAAAATTATATAGAAGCAAGGTAGAAGTAAATTTTGGAACACAACTACTCTAATTTCAGAACAAGTTTCTTTTTTAAGTTTTAATTCAAGGAAGAAAGGTCAAGGTAACATGAAAACTTGTGAGTGAGGAGTAAATAGCACCTGATACATCTGTTCTTACTGAGGATAAAAGTTGCCACCGACACAAACGGCTAGTGTACTCACAGTATAAGAAGAATCCTGTCTTATGCATTCCCTCTCTGCCCCAACCCCTCTTGGAGCAGTGCCTCAGAGGGAGAGAACTGAAGACAGAACCCTCAGAGGACAAAGGGATAGGAAGTAGCATGGGGGAGGAAGTGCAGGTCAAGCCTCTGCCACTGCCTGAAACTTTCCCTCTCACCTCCCATTCTTTGTACCCCTGTTATTTTCTTGCTCATCCCCCCTCTCCTTGTCTTCTTCCTTCTCTTCCTCCCACAACTCTATCTCTACCCCCTCCTCCTCTTCCACTTTCACTTTCCTAACTATTGATCCTAACTTCCCACAGCTAGTATTTACTAGAAATACAATTCTGGAACTTTTTATTCAGAGGATCTCTATCAGTTAGTCTGGCAATCCACCACCATTTACACTACCTTTGTTTTCAGAGGGAAAATGAGTCCTAAACAAAGGACTTGAAACTGAAATTTGAAAGGAAACTTACATGAGTAGTTCTGGGGTAGCAATGGGAAAATAGATGGGAATGAACTCTTCATCCACTCAGAAATGTTTGATCATTAAGTAGTAAGTCAACCATGTGGTGTTAAATTTTTTCTTATTAATAATATTAATCATATTTTTTAAAAAATATATATGAAACCAACATTGTGATATAAGAACTTACATGGCCATTCTGAAAGATCTCTCGAACAGAATCCAATTCCCAGAGGATTTGCTTAAACCAGAGTTCGTAAGCTGTAATAACAAAACCCTTGTCAATTGGAAAGTTATGGGAGTCTTTTGACCATCATTTTTTGAAAGACAGGGTAACATATTGAAAGAAAAATGAAAATATAACTTAAAAATAAGTAAGTGTAAGTAGTGTCCCACTCTATGCAAGAAGTAAATATGAATGTTAAAGTTATGATAGACTTCCTTTAGGAAATGTTTTACTATGCCAGGCACATTACCTATGCCTTATATTATTATTACTACACCAATTCCTCTCAACAAATGCACTGTTAGAGCTTTTAGGACATAGCAATTAACCTAATTCTAACTTCCTGTATGGAAGCTTCCTGTATGAACCTAATTCTAACTTCCTGTATGGAAGAAGTGATAATCAACTTCTACCATAAAGTGACAAATTAATATGATTAATTATACTTTTTAACCTAAATGAAAGACTGTAGAGTTTTAAGATCTTGAAAATATAAGGCTAAGTTACTTAAAATGCAATGTTTTGTTTGGCTGTTTTATTTTTGAAAAGCCTGAGGGCAACTTCACTTGCAATTGATTCAACACTATCCAGTATACCTTCTTTCAGAATATTCATTTGAATCTAAGGCTGTTTGTTTAAACATAAACTCTGCCAAAGCATTTCTGTTGAAGGATTTAAGCAGGTCCCTTCACTGAGAATGTATTTTTCCCTTGCACAATGGGCTGTTAAACAACAAAACTGTTGCTAAAGAAAAGTGATACAACTTGACATATTGGAAGAAGCATAGTGGAAATCAATACATCTGACATTACTGATAGTGTCAATTAGGACAAAAAACTTAATTTTCCCCTTTTTTTTGAGTAATGGTCTCACTCATCACCTGGGCTGGAGTGCAATGGAATAATCACAGCTCACTATAACCTGAACCTCTCAGACTCTGGTGATTTTTCCATCTTAGCCTCCAGAGTGTAGCTTAGACTACAGGCAGTATCACCACATCCAGCTAATTTATTTTTTATTTTTTATTTTTGTAGAGATGACGTCTTGCTATGTTGTACAGGTTGGTCTCAAACTTTTGGGCTCAAGCAGTTCTTCCTCCTAGGCCTCCAAAAATACTAGGATTACAGGAGTGAGACACTACCCTGGTCTAAAAGCTTAATTTTCCTTAACTTCAGTTGACTCATTCATAAAATGGTCAAACAATTACCCATTTACAAATGGAAGACTATGATTCAAAATCTGTAAATGTATAGCACTATGAAGACATAGCCAGACATCTCGACTTCTTGTGTTACTAGACTACTCATGGCAACCATAAATAGTTATTCCCATTTGCTTGACCTGTCCACAATAGTCTATAATCCTATAAACTAAGAACTTTGTCATAGTCATCTATTTTTCCTCAGTACCTATGACAGTGTTTGGCATTCGGTAAACACTAGGTGATTCGTTTATAAATAAATAAATTATGTAACCAATTGAATGAGCATTAAAAGTCAATAACCTTTGAGATCTCTAGTGAATCCTGTTTATTTCTGTATGGATAAAGCCTATGTTTCTGTACTAATTTAGGGAATCCAATTTTAATTTTAAGTTACATTTAAGGAGACTTTTGGGTATCTAATTTTTATATTTGGGCAAAAAACAAATGAAATATTTGTTGAACAATTTATTATCTCTTTTTTTAGATTTAAACTTGTGTTATACCTTGGGTTAGGTTTTTAATGCACATTAACTCATTTCTCCTTCAGAGAAAGGATTGGAGTGAGAAGATACAGTAATTCTCTCTATTTTATATATGGGGAAATGGAACTAAGCAACTTGAACAAGGTCAAACAATTTATAATGGTAGAAATGAAATCCTAAACAGTTTTTGAATTCCAAATTTGTCCCACCATGCCATGATTTCTCTCCACTGATTCAGCCTTGATATAAGCCATCAATAAAAATGTAAATATAAAAACAGGAGGAGTAACACACTAAGCCAATTGTCTTCCACCTTTAATTTCTCAAAGGGGTTTATTATTCCAGCCAGTCAGTGAGGAAAGAACAAATTTAAGGAAAAGAAATGAAGAACTGGTAGAGAAGTGAAACACATCTAGGTGTGGGACACTGACCAGCCTGACTTATTCAGGTGTCAGTATTATGGCACCAAAAACCCCAGGGCAAATGTTATTCATATTTGGGGGGTCATAGACCTCCTTAAGACAGAGGTTCATGAAAATTTGCACTTCGTTTCAGAGTTTAGGGACCTTCTAAACCTTTATTTTATTTATTTATTTACTTTTTGAGTTGGAGTCTCACTCCGTCGCCCAGGTTGGAGTGCAGTGGCATGCTCAAGGCCACCTCGGCATCAGCCTGCTGGGCTCAAGCGATCCTTTCACCTCAGCCTTCCAAGTAGCCAAAACTGTGGCTACCACACCTGGCTAATTTTTTATTTGGTTTATTGTAGAGGCTAGGTCTCACCATGTTGCTCAGGTTGGTCTCAAACCCTTGGGCTCAGGCAATCCTCTCACCTTGGCCTCCCAAAGTACTGAGATTACAGGCTTGAGCCACCACACCCAGCCCTTTCTAAACTTTAAAGTCATGTTCATATAGCTACAAACCTCTGCCCAGAACTTAGAAATTTAGAAGGGATAAACATATTAGACCAAGTTTACATTTTTGTTAAATACTAGATTGTTATAAGATTATGTAAATCCACATTAAAGTTGGATGATCTTGAATATAGTTTTCTAATGTTCCAAATTGAGCAAAAGCAGCATCTTAACTCGCAAAGACTTGATGGAATTCTAAGAGATGGAAAGCCCCTTGGAGTTAAGGACAAAACAAGTCCTACTGACCCAATTCTTAGGTAACATAAAGAAGACTGTTTGAATCCCTATAGAGGTCCTATGAAAATTTATCTGGCAGTAAAACATTCTCAAATATTTCTAACAGAGGTGATTCCTTGATCTTTCATCATTTTATAGTTAAAAGATTATAGCTATCCTGATAATTGATGAAAAATGTTTGTGGAATACTTATTGTCTAAACTTTCATGCAACTCACCTTGATGAGTTATGATAAAAAGATGTTCATCATGGATTTTATTTCCTTTTATTTCACTTTGAAGTTCTTGTGCATTCAAAACTTTTTCCAACTTTAAATGAAAAATAAAAAGACATTTGAAATTGTAGAATTTGATTTTTATCAACTTTAATAAGAAATGGAATACAATAATAGAAAAGGTTCCCCCAATCCCCAATTCTCAGAAACCAATCTATGTTTTTAAACAAAGAATAAGTTTCATCATAAAGAGTGATTTGAATTTATGATTTTTATTCTTCTCAGAAAATTTCCATTTGGTAGAATTTTATTGTAATAAATGCTATTGCACTTTTTGAGAAGTCATAGTCTTTCTCATGCAATGAATATGGTGAAAGTTGAAAACTTGTTGAGGTGACTGTGCATCTGTCATTTTTTGTGTTCCCCAAAGAGACTAATCATTTAAATCATTTTAGCATTCTTCATCAGTTCATCCTTATAAACCCATTGATGAAGGCATCAAGGGCTTCAATAGTTTTGTTTCTTTAAAAAAAAAAAGACAAACAGGCTGAAACTTCAGAATAATCTACTAATGCCGCATTTGTTAATAACTCTCTCTCTCCCTTTTTTTTTTTTTTTTTTTTGAGTCAGAGTCTTATACTGTTGCCCAGGCTGGAGTGCAGTGGCACGCTCACAGCTAACCCAACCTTGACCAGCTGGGCTCAGGTGATCCTTCCATCTTGGCTTTCCCAGTAGCTGAACCCTAGGAATGCACCACCATGCCTGGCTAATTTTTTTTACTTGTAGTCTTGTGAAGTTACCCAGATCGGTCTCGAACCCTTGGGCTCACATAGTCCTCTCGTCTCCGTGTCCCAAAGTGCTAGGGTTATAGTCATTTGCTACTGCACCTAGCTAATATCCCTCTTTCATTTGCTAATAATATTTTTAAAATCTGTGTATCTTCAACATTTATACTTTATGACAAGAAATTTAAAATAGGATTTTTTTTCCAACTGCACTTGCAGTTACCTAGCCTGGAATTTATTGACCATGTCTTATTTATATAAGTTGTGTAACACCTGCCAGTTATCCAGAGTGTAGCTTAATTATACACCACTCCCACATTCTGGATTCTCTACTTTCAGTATACCTCTGCTAAACAGCTGAATTTTCTCCTATGAATCTCTTGACTTGTTCTAACAAAAGTTGAAAAAGTATTATTAATTTCTGTGAATAGCTATATCTTTAGGTCCAGAAAACTATTGATGACTGAGGGAAAAAAAATTCCATAAAATAAAAACCATGAAAAAGTCACTTAGCAGAATTGAATGCCTAACAATGGAAGCTAAACCATCTAAGGATGCTGACACTTACGTGCAGGTAGTTCCCATAGATAAGTCCTCCTTTGCTGGCTCTATTCACACCAGTTTGTGATTTGTCTTCTTCACTGTCTTCTACAGATAGTTTTTTATGAGGATATCTGAAGATTTAATAAATAAAGAGCAGAAAGTAGTTCTTTAGACAACACAGCTAACTAATGATATGGGTGATTGAAATTCTCTTATTGCAAGTTTTGTTTAGAGTTTTATTGCTAAACAAGGGAATAAAGGTGACTGTTTTGGATGCTCTTTAAATTCAGAAATTAAAATGTTTATGCCCAATAATTCCTAGAACCTAAACCCATCTGTAATAGAGAGGTAATACTCACCCAAAGTTGTTTCCTAAAAATGGACACCCACTCATGATACAAAGGCACTGTGCAAGAATCACGGAGGCTGGAGTCTAGATAAATGATATCACTGACCTTCCTAGATGTTCCACAGCTGCCTTTTATGTATTCTGCTTACCCTGCACCAGCCAATCAGCATATTTATTGTGTTCTTAGCTAGGCTCTCATTTCGTTGGTACAGAGCTGAACCTCTATAAACTTTAGAGTGGAATAATGTTGAGCATGGTCCACTTGTTAAAAGACTGATTATTCTCCCAAATTGAATCATACGACTTGCCAAGTTCTGCTTTTATATCTAAAATGACAAACATCAAGTAAATCAATGGTCACTTAAAAAAAAATTCAGTTAACTATTCAATGCCAAAAAAAAAAAAAAATTTGGCATAGTGTTAAGATTTGTTAGATAATGAACTTGTGAAAAACAAATATTTATTCTCTCAGATTTGGATATTCTTACAGCTCCTAGGCCAAAAACTGAAATTTGATGTCTCTGGGAAAAGCAATTCACTGTAGAGCAAAGGCTGGGTACATTCTCAAAGCCCATTTAGGGCTCCATTTATCAGAGCCCTAGCCCAAATATTTTCTAATAAATAGTAACAGTTAATAATTAGTAACTGTATTGGAATTTTAATGGACAATTCTACTTTACCGTTCATTAGTTGCAAACTAGTTACAGGGTAGCAGGGGTACATTGTCTATAGAGAATTTAAACACAGTAATAAACATATGCTCATAATTCTAAACAATATCAGTGATAAAATTTTCTTCCTAGAAACACTATATATTGGTCTAATTTCTTTCTTTTTTTTTTTTTTTTTTGAGTTGGAGTCTCACTCTGTCGCCCAGACTGGAGTGCAGTGGCATGCTCCCGGCCACCGCAGCCTCGACCTGCTGGGCTCCGGTGATCCTTCTGCCTCAGCCTTCCAAGTAGCTGGAACTACAGGTGCGTGCTATCACGCCTGGCTAATTTTTGATTTATTGTAGAGATGAGGTCTCGCCAATTTGCCCGGGTGGGTCTCAAACCTGTAGGCTCAGGCAATCCACTGGCCTCGGCCTCCCAAAGTGCTGAGATTATAGGCTGAGCCGCTGAGCTGGTCTATTGGTCTAATTTCTGAACAATTGCTCTCTGGACTACGGAGCCAGGGTTGAAGCACCATTGCCTTATCATTAGTATCCCCACTGCTGCTAACTAAGAACTATCCATAGAGACTGAATTTACAATTCAGACTGAATTAACTATTTCCCTGTCTGCAATGGATTTCTATCTAATTTATTGAAGTAATTAAGAGTCAGAAACTTTATTTTTTGTTTGGTTCTATCGCAAAGTACAATATGAAAAAAATGAATTTAATTTCTGAACATAGGGGGTCTGACAATTAAGTTCATGGACTTACCACCGTGCTCTTACATTGGTGGCACCATACAAATAACTTGATAAGATTTCATAACCTTGGTATATCAGTGTCTCACAACTGTGTTTGTGTCAATGTGTGGTGGTGTCTTGCTGAGTGGCGTTCATTATTGGTGCATGTTTTTGTGTGCCATCATGAGCTTGCATTAGAGCAATGGACAAACAATACACTTCTTGCTACACATGACAAGTATGGAAGTGAAATCAGGGACATGTTCGTCCAAGTTTATGGGGATAATACCATGAAGAAAACAGCAGTGTACAAATGGATTAAATGATTTTCTGAGGGGAGAGAAAGTGTTATGATGAAGAGAGGTCAGGATGACCAGTAACAAGCAGAAGTGTTGAAAATATTGCAAAAATCTGTTGAATTGTGCGTCAAAATCATCAGCTGATTGTGAGAAGCATAGCAGACTAAATAAACATTGACAGAGAAATAGTTAGTAAAATCTTAACTAAAAATCTTGGCATGAGAAAAGTGTATACAAAAATGGTCCCACCATCATGATAATACGCCAGTTCACACAGCTCTGTTTGTGAAGGAATTTTTGACCAGTAAACACAATAATAACTGTATTGGAGCCCCTCTCTACTCATCTGGTCTGGTTCCGAATGATATTTTTCTATACTCAAAGTAAAGGAAATATTGAAAGAAAGACATTTGATGGCATTCAGGACATCAAGGGTAATAAGACGATTGCTTCAAGGATCATTCTAGAAAAAGAGTTCCAAAATTGCTTTGACGGGTGGATTAGGCTCTGTTGTCGATGCATAGCTTCCCAAGAAGAGTACTTTGAAGGTGACCGAATGACATTCAGCAATGAGGTATGTAGCATGTTTTCTGGAATGAGCTTACAAACTTAATTGTCAGACTCCCATCCACTTCCTTACCAAGAGAAATGAAAATGTTTATGTTGACTGTAATTTTGAAGATCCTATCCACTCTAAAATATTGATTTTATTACTGCATATAAATTATGTTTATTTATTTATTGCAGAAGGATAAATAACATGAAAATGCCATGTTACAAGAGAATTGGGAAACCATTAAAACCATATTCTATACTGGTTACGTTTGCCCTGGATTTTTTTTTTTTTTTTTTTTTTGGAGTTGGGGTCTCACTCTGTCGCCCAGACTGGAGTGCAGTGGTCGCTCCCGGCCACCGCAGCATCGACCTGCTGGGCTCCGGCGATCCTTCCGCCTCAGCCTTCCGAGTAGCTGGAACTACAGGTGCGCGCTACCACACACGGCTCATTTTGATTTATTGTAGAGATGAGGAATAGCAAAGTTGCCCAGGTGGGTCTCGAACCCACGGGCTCAGGCAATCCACTCACCTCAGCCTCCCAAAGGTGCGGGATTACAGGCTGAGCCCCCGAGCCCGGCTTTCCCTGGATTTTTATAAGTGACCATAGTAATTGCTTATACACTAGAGAAGGGCCTTATCTGGAGGAGAGATCGAGTCACTGTGATTTTTGCTGGCGTCCTAGCCTAGAGTATTTGGAAGCCAAGAATGCTTAACAGCCTCTCTTCCTGCTCTTGGGTTACAACCAGGAATGGTTACAAAAAATATTGTTAAATAATTTATTCTACTCCTTTTAAGTCTTCTGGTCTGAATTTATAAGTGTGCTTCATTTATTGGTCAACATACTAGTGAAAGAAATAAGAGCTTTTTTCTCTATAATATTTCCTTTTTATAAAAATGTCAGTGCACATGGATCTCCTAAGTAGTGTCAGTTCAGTGTTTCCTTTAACAACACAAGAACCAATTATTTAAAGATTTGAATTTGGTGGAAAAATTGTAAAAAAAAAAAATTTTTGGAGAAATTGTAAACTAATCTAAAAATAGCTTGTTTTTTTCACTTAGTTGGGTAATGACAATGGTAGACCCTCAAACATATACATTTCCATTATTTTTTGCAATAGAAAGCATTATTCAAATTTATAAAGTTATATTCTGGTTATCATTTTGTTAATACTTAAATTTTGTCACTTGGAACCCAATTGTCAGTCTGATGTTAACCTAATTAGGAAAGTTGTCTTTATAATCAGATTTAAAATTTCTATAAGCAACAGTATTTACTACTGCCAATTTATTTATTTCCTGGACATTTTACACAAACCTTCTGGAAATAAAGTTTAACTCTAATAAGAAAAACTTCAAACATTATAACAAGTCAAAAGAGAAGGTACAGGCAATGATTTATGGTAACTTTCTAAACACATTATATTTCCATATGCACATAGCTCTGTGTACACATAACTCAGAGAAGAAATATGCCAGAGGCAAGACTGGTCAATGAGAATTCTTGCAAGATGCAAATCATAACCAACTCCGGACCTAAAAGGGACCCTGAAAGCCATCTAATCTGTTTCAAAAGTAAAAATACTGGAAAGCTGAGAGATATAACAATTTTTTTTCCTCAGGTATGTAATGAAAGGTAGTAAAAGAATACTAAAATAATGTGAAAAATAAATTTAAAACTTTATAAACAAAATCTTTGACCCTAGTTATTTCCGTGTGATTTCTAAGTTTTGGGTATAGAAAATAGTGAGACTTTGAGGGTAGAACAAAAAGAATTAGCAGGAATTTGTGTCGAGCTAAATTCTGAAAGTGAATAGAAACTTATAAACATTCTACCCTCAGCCGTTACATGCTGTATAATGTAAGATGTTTCATTTTCTTCTTCTGTCTACCCTTCATAGCTTAAAACTGCTTCAACACTTTCCTACCCCTCTCTCCTCCAACACAATTGTCCTTGTTCTTCTTAGTCAACAGTGATAGATTGTGGCAAGCCCCAAAACACTCAACCAATAGGAGAATTTCCAAAAGGACTCTACACCCTTCTCTAAATGGCCTAGAGCAACCCTCAGTTGCTTCAGGGGTTGACCTGTATAATTCACACTGCTTCCTTCTGGGAACACATCCCAAAAAATTCAATTCCTTCTAATTCTTATCTCAGGCTCAGGCTTTCTCAAGGGGAAGTCAAACCAATATACAGCTCTCTTATTCATCATAGGATACAAAACATGTATGAATTAAATACATTTTTTTGCTTTCCAAGCAAAGAAGTGTTTGTAAACATAGTCATTCAATAAATTATCATTGATATAATAAATTTACACTCATGATATGAAGTAGTTTTTTGTTTTTTTTTAATATTAATGTTTTGTTTGATTCCCATAAACAAAGATCTGAAAAGAATTAAAATCTCTTATTAAGGATTTAAACCTTGTCATACATAAGTGCTTTTAAAAGTCTCTTTGATAAAACTCAGAAATGGCCATCAACAAGTAAAATCTGCTCATTTGTAATTATGGCAGACTTTTTTTAATGGCAGAAATGATACTTTTAAGACACAGATTTCAAAGAAAGGAAGACACACTGCTAATCATAGATCAAGGAAAGAACTATTTAATTCTTCTGTGTGGAGTTAAGGTGACTAGTTTCCGAGGGGAAAAAAAAATCTTGGAAGATCGTAGATAATGCTGCTCTAAGCAGTCTTGTAGGTGAGAAAATTGGAATACCTCACACGTAGAACATATCACAAAGAAACTACAAATCAGGAGACCCTTCCTCACTCTGGGCTTGGAATGTGGTATTTGTGGAGAAACGCTTCCAGATAAATGTTATTTTATTTCTTTACTTTTCAAAAACCATAAACATTATA